AAATCAAAAATCAAAATCCCAAGGAAATCCTCGGGGGTTGTCGCCGTGGTATTGTTACCATACCCTCAGTACTGCGTATGAACGGGGTATTAGAGAGTCACCAGCGAAAAGGAGGGCGGGTAAAAAGGCGCAGTGTCAGCGAGTAGTAAATGACGATTCGCAGGGTAAAAGAGGCGGGAGAGCGGCGCCAGGTTTGGGAGCGAGTGACCGGGTTAGGGTGGTCAGGAGTGGTCGCCACACTCTGGCACGGCAGGGCAAGGCCGAAGGAGGGCAGGGAAAAATGGTGGAAAAACAAAAAAGAGCACCACGCCCATTACCCACGATTACAATTTCGGATCTTCTCTGGGGCTTCTTTTCCTTCCTTCTGCAGGCGGACGAGAGGCGCTCGGTCCAACCAACCCCGCCAAGCCCAGACCCACCCTGTCGTTTTCCTCGCCAAATCCATGCATGCTTCGGTTCCTGCGGCTACGTGACGCTGGCCAGTACCAATACCGTGGTAATCTTCGCACGCCCGTCAATACACACCTGTCAGGGTACTTACTAGAGGGTAGTTACCGTCAAGCAAAAGGACTCATCATGGAGGGAAGAGGCTTAGAGTCATAAAGGATTGGAGAAGAGTCATTCAAAGGAATCTCTAGCTGAGGATCACGGATCTCATTGTCTGCTATGATCTGCGAGATGACTGTTGTTCCTTTGACCTGATTCAGGAGTCACCGGTTTTGTAACGAGCCGGTTTCATCCATGGTGGGCAAGCCAGCACCGAAGTACAAAAAGCAAGAAAGACTATGAGGCATTTTGGAGGTTGGCTACCAAGGCGGGCTAACCTCGATCTTACTAACCCGGTCAGTAAGAAATCATCCCAGACCATAACTTACTGTGTGTAGTCTTAATTGGGAAAAGCTGCCACCCAAAAAACATCGCCCCCCCTCCATCTACACTAAGAGTCTTGGAAAACTATAGTAGTGGCCGAAGAACCAGAGACTGAAAAGTAAGGGGGTGATCCATTCTTTGTCTTCTAGAACATATTCAGCGAAGAGGGATATTTTATCTGATCGGAATGTCGTACAAATCTCAAGGGTTCAAGACAAGACAGCGAATAACGGAAGGTCCAGAGCAAAGAAAGGCTGTCAGACAAGGGAGGGCGGCTACTCAATGAGAAAGAATGAACCCCCACGAGGACAAGACAGCGCAGGAGCCAGGACAGGCATCATAGCGGCACGAGCTGCGACTGTTGAGTGTGGGAAAGTTGCCCTACCGACCGTCGGGGCGGGTAATGCCAGGGTAATTACGAGGGTGACCACGGCAAGCAGACCCGACAACTTGACCGTGGGAGGACCAAAACGAACCCCGTCGGAGTCGCGCCGAAGCCGTTTCAGCGGGCGCTGCGCTTTTGTTGGGCTTAATACACAGTAACCCTTGAGCTTTGAATGGCCACACATAAATATTGCATCTAGCATTGATTTAAGCCTAGCATCAACCCCCATCAGCCGGCTCACTTATGCGCTGCTTATGCGTGAAAGTGGTTACTTAAGGTACTAGGTTCCTCGGCGTAGCTACCTCTTCCGACTGATTCGGTCGGTCGCAGCTCCAGGAGCGCATTACCACCCACCCTACCTATCTACTCCATACACACACAGCACACCAAAAGTAGACTTACTATGGTAATTTCGTTAAGGAGGCCAAGATAATACTCAAGAAGACAATCACCATTATAGTGCTACCAATGTGGTGCTTGGCACCACGCCTCATTCTCAAAGACTAGACAAAGTGACAACAATTCAAGTCCTTCAAAACACTGCCTCCCTTTTCCCCCCTGCTGGTCGCCATTATTGTTTTACAATCCCAATAACAATGCTTGGTATTTCTTGTCATTGCTCACTATTGCATTTGCCGAGACTTTCCCTAGCTGGGCTTAAATCTGGTGGTTCCTGATCCGGAAAGCGATGGTCTTGGCCCTGTGACGTAAGGTTTCCCCCTAGTCATGCTGTGTCACGGCAGTCTTGAAGGTTATCTCAGTCTGAAGCAGTAGTAGGAGAAACTTGTGCGATGCCGATGATGCGGGCCAGAACGACAAACTTGCTTGCTTGCTACAGACATCACTGGGAACTGCGAACCAACTGCGAGAGAAGTCTGGACGATTCTATCCCAGTTTCTCGGACCGACTAGACCCCTATCCCCCTGCTATGACGAGGTGAATTAAATTGAACAACTCTTCAGTTGCACCAACTCTACCCCAGAGTACTACATTACAACGGCTACCACATCAATAGAACCAAGAGAATAAAAATTCCCCGACTGTGACCGGGATCGATCATGACGCTCTCGAGTCCCGGAAAGTTTGCTTGAGGTTACAGCGACTGGCAATGGGACAAGCAGGTGGTTTCCATGTCTTCGATCTGCCACGCTCAGCTCTCAAGGTTGGTTCCGATAACCGTACCCAGGAAAGCTGGTACCTAGATCGGTCCAAATGAGAATGATGAGTAGTATATGGGAAGCTCAAGCCATGCTACAGAACTCCCAAGTATGTTGTTGACTAGAAGCACCGCCACCTGATTGACAACAGCTGGGAGTGACAGTCGGTCTGGGCGGGAATAGTTGGCTCTTGGCTGTACAACATATTTGGACTCAAGATGATCGGACCAGTGTTGCCAGAAATAACCAGATTAGATCTGAACTATGCAAATAAGGACTGGAACTAGTAGTCATGGCTCATTGTTCAATGGATTCCTCAAACAATAGCACGATCTTGGGATAGTTTGTCGCTGGGTGGTTTGACAGCCGAGTTCTTGTCTTTCCCCCGGGTAACTCCACAGTGATCATCCCAGGGATGGTCACCCAGGTAGCAGCCAATTCTGGAGATAGAGTTTCGTCTCATCCAGCAACTTGTCCGTTTATCTCTAGGATCTCAGCCTTGGGGGCCACTAAGTTTAGAATTAGGCATGTCCGACAAGAAAGGCTCAGCAAACTCAGCGCGGGTGGCAGTGATGGGAAGGGGAGAGCGCAAGAGGAAGAAGGAAAAACCCATCGGGATCGGCCTGGTATCCATACATACAGACCGATGCTCATACATACGCCGTACATACGAGACCCGTGCCAAAACCACCCCCAAATCCGGACTGGAAACGATCAAAACTGCATCTCAGATCCCATCCTTCCCTTCAGGCGATCGTGCCGTCTTTCCCAGACTGGATTGAGTTGTGGATAGAGTATCTCCGGAAGAATGGAGACAGGGAAGATGGGAAAAAAGCAGTATAGTGATGATGACCAGATCTATGCCCGATGGCAAAGGGCTGAGAGAAGCGGTCAGCGCCAGAACCAGAGAACTACAGAGTAGAGACCCAAACTGCATCACTTTTCTCTCTAATGACTGACAGCCGGGCGGCGGTTCACCGAGCTCAGAACCACGGTAGCGATCTCCAAAGCGGAGACCATCGAGCGGGCTAATCCCACCCCCATCCACTTCTACACCAACGGGCTTACAATCAGAAACCTGCACAATTCACGGTCGCTGAGGATGGGGGGCCCAGCTAGACTACTACCAAACGCCTCACGATTTACGAAGCCTTGAAGTGCTGGGACAAGCTTCATGCGATTCAGGGATAACCCCCACTCAGTGCCATGGCTGCTCCGGGAGATGCAGCTTCCCACAATCGCAGCAGCCAATCTGCGCGTCTCGGGAGTACTTTTCTTTTGCTGTTTTTGCCCGCTTTTATCCTCGATCCCAGCAATCAGGTTCGATCCAAATCTCAGCCAGTCATGGGAATAGGAAGAAAAAAAAAAACTGCTGGGGAAGTACTAACTAGACTAACTATCGGCACTGGCAGTCCTTGGAATTAGTAGTACTAACTTACTGCTTTCACGAACCAACGGGGTCGGCCCATTTACACGATCCTTCGTTACCTCGTGAAGTCTTACGACTCCAATTGCCCTTTTGGGCATTCCGGCCCTGGTTCATTCAACTAAGTATGCTGGTTGTTATTGTTGCTTACGGCGTGGGTTGAAGCGCAAGTTTCACCCCCGTTACACATTGCATATGCCGCTGTTTGGGGGGGGAAGGAAGGAAATGCGACCTTTTAGCGACCCCATGCTTGGCTACCACACTCACACGCACACTCAGTCCCTCTGAAGGATCCTCATCCATGGCCGCCAACACGGACTCTCCGCACTTGGGATCGAGAACAAGATACAAGGTACATGCGACTTATGTATACTTATGTTCCGAATACATATGGTCTATGTGCTACGCGGCCTAGAAGCCAAGATTGAAACAGAGTTTCCGCAATTAAACTCCGACCGGCGACGGAAAGGAAAAACAGAATAAGAAATATAAACTATATACAATCATTTTTTCCAAGTACTCGTGAACAGCGTGCAAACTTTCGATCCTCATTGAAGAGCTGAAGATCTCTAGCTGAACGGCATGGCCGAGGGGAGGCAAGCAAAACCCGAAGAAAAAGGAAATAAAGAGGAAGGGGAAAAAATAAAATAAAATCTTAATTGAAACCCAAACCTCCAAAGGCGACTCTTACAGGAGGAGAAGGGAAACAAGAAGTTTGTACAGTAGGCAGGTAAGAGTCTGCCACCACGATGGTCACCGGCCACCCGGAAGAGGAAATGCTATGTGGCATACGAACAACCGTCCTCAACCCCATCCAGTTCTTCCTCCCCCAGCCTTTTCTGGGATAGGATGGCTACTATGCTAGCTTGCATATTGATGATCGAACCACCAGCAGCACCTGGTGGAGATTCTGAACTGTCGCGCGTGCGAGTGGACCGCCATGAGATCGATTATGGAGACGAACAGACCAGAGAGCATGAATGGGATTGTCTCTTTGGTGGGCGGATGCCTCAGGGCCACTTTTTTCGGCGCGGTGCTATGGTATAACTGCTACTGCTACTGTGAGAGGTTGACAGGCAGACAGACGCCGGGATCAACGCCGGATAAGAATAGCATTAACCTAACAAACACCGACTGAGCTACCCAGGATTAGGATTAAGGATTAATACGTCCGCTTATCGACCTCCGCGCCCAGGATCAAAAGTCCTGCTGCGGTGGTGTCATTGGCCTGCAGCTAAGGCGACTAAGAGTTAGAGCCTTGTACCTTAATGGCCGACGTCGGCCTAAGAGCGGTTTGTATGAGGGATTTTATTCTCCCTAGGTCGATGCCCTAACGACGCTGACTGGACCGTCGATGGCTTTCTCCTCCTCTTGCCCTCTCCACCAGCACGGGACTCGCGCTTGGATTCGCGCCGGCTTCAAGTTGCGATGCACGACGCACCCAATCGAGTAATCCATGCCCCAGAAAAAAAGTCCCAGCGACTCGCCAGTCCGGCACGGCAACAAGGTGCCTTTTGCCTGTCTCATGGTCAGCTAGCCGTGCGACAGCCAGCTTCATTTCCGCCGACCCGGCATTGTCCATCTGTACCCCGTACAACCATCGTGATTGATGGATCGGGGTCTTGGACTCGGTCAATTGGCAAATCATCGTCGACTCCCCTGGCTGTTGAGCTAAACCCACCCCCGGACATCAGACATCCCATCCATGGCTTTTATGCGGATAAAAACGAGGCTGCCGTCATGACATATGCAAGTGCGCCTCCCACACTCCGAGCCCATGACTGAGCGCATGGCATGGTCAGTCATGGAAGGATTCAGAACGTCGTCGACGTTAATCAGCCTACTCCTCCTCGCTTTGATTCAGGTAACCACAATTACCATACCTCCCGTATACCAGGTATCGGGTACACGGAAGATAAGATGGTCGCTAATGCAGTAATCTAGTCGCACATGGGGGGTACGCCCTTGCTTCAGTCACGATGAAGAAAAGAAGAGACAACAAAGAACAGAGCCATTGCAAAGGTGGATGAAGATCCAGAACCCAAGTACTCCAGGACGGGCCGGCCTGCACGTCGAAATCTTACCGTGGTAGGCAAACGTCTAGAATGTGTCAGTGGCAGCATCGAGCCCAGTTCTTCAAAGGGATGGCAATGCTCTCATCATTGAGCGCATGATCGACATACCACACTGGGTTGGGGAAACACAGCGGATCACCCGAAACCTTCAACATCACAGACATCACAGCCTCTTGGGAGAGTCATGATTCCGACTGAGACGGCCAAGAGGGCCGCCAAGATGGCCAAGGCATATACATTTCACCCCATGCAACCATGAAGATGGGGGATCCCTTCACTTGAGAGGCGGAGTTGAAAAACCGAGTGGTCCCCGTTTCGACTGCCCCTTGCTCAGTGCTCATCCCTCCCCTCTGGACATTCCACTGCAGTTCTTGGCAACGTCCTGTGACCTTGCCCCCGGTACGACGGAGAATTGCCGCCAAGATGATCACAGCCAAGTTGCGAACGACGTCTGTTGCGGTGGAATGAGCTTCTGGCTAGAACCCCCCATCGGCGTGGGAGAGTGGTCGGTCCCCGGTCTTCCCCGGAGTCCGGAGCTACAGCGACCGACCTACTGTCCGCCGTCGACACATTCCTCCTCCTCCTTGCCTCCCCGGTGCAACTGGTCCAAGAGGATCCCGCGTTGAGTTGGTGACCGGCCAAGGATGCCAAGCGCCATTCCAAATACTTGGGCGAATGACTGCGGCTGTGGGATGGAGGAGGATGGGGGGAAGCATCTCAAGAGCACCAAGTAGATACTGGCCGGTCTGAAAAGGAGTATCACCCCCCGGAAGGTGGGAGATCTTCGTCGATCATCTGCTCCTATATTGCAGGACAAATTCTTGGCGAACGAATACCAAGCATGACCACGTCGAAGTTTGCTCAGGGGGAAAGAGAGAGCGACTAGGCTATGTTGCAGCTTGAATCGATTAGACGTACCCAATTAAGGGGGCTTGGAAGAAGACAAGCTGTCCAGGTCCTCGGACACGTCTGTCTGCACATCACAGATTGTCCACGGGAGCAAGTCGATACCAAGAGACAGAGTGTGTGTCTGTCTAAGCCTCATTGCAATACGGACTAAGTTTTAAGATACCCCTTTTCATCTTTCCTCTCCGCTGATCCGGAAGAATAGCAACTCCGGCCAGCAAAGAGCATCTCGCGATTCCCTCCGAGCCGGCGATCGACCGCTCTTTTCTCAGGAAGGGCTGCCAGAATGGGAATCTCCTGATGGCGGACCGGCCGTTCTGCCAATAACAACCCCACGATTAAAGTTCGTTCACGCCAGCACAGGTACATATAGACTACCGGGACTCCAACCAGCAGGCCGGTACCAATGCACTGCAGGGCCCTTTGCAGCGAGACTACTGTACGGCGTAAGGGAGGGAAGTCAAAGCCCGTTGGCGATCGATCTGGTCATCGGACAAGGGAAAGGTGGAGAGAGAGAGACGAGAAAGAATAAGAAAAGAGGAGGCGTGTATTGCCGCTTCCAGTAATCTTCTCGAACGTCTGTGGTTTCTCTTCCCCGCAGGGCTGCTGCTACTCTCAACTCTCCGGATTCGTCGTTATGATTCAGAACAGCATCTGATCATCGGGAAGCATTATATCATCGAGGCGGATACCCAATACTACCTCGGTCATACTTCGTAGAGGAGGGAGGGGGAAATGCGATCGGCCGCTTCAGCTGGCAGGTGGCAGATGCTCAAACCGACGTCATTTCTTTAAATATCTCAACCACTGAAACCACTGACAAGAGACAGATTAATTAAATATTGGTAAATAAATTAATGAATAGTGAATAACATCAGTCGTGAACAAATCATTACTTCAGCCAACTACAGTACAGTTAGTAAGTCGTTACTTTGTACGTAGTAGTTGTTCCTCGTCAGCTGCAACAAAACAAAAAACCAGTGACATCATACGAATTCACCTCGACAAACTCTCTCTCCCTCCATCTCCTCCCGTGTGTGTGTGGGATGATGATTATTATTATTACGATGGATGGCTGATCTCTCCCACGTAAGCGATACCTTTACTACTACTGGCTAAACTGACAAAATAGGTAGGTACACCCTAGTACCTACAACTGTAACAGTTTGTGTAACATGAAGCATAAGCATATCATCGTAGGAAATCTTACTTTCATCATGATTATTATTATTATCATTATTATTACTATTACTTACTAAGTAACTAATTTCACCTAAATAAGCATGTATGTAAGTAAGTAATAATTCATTTTGATTTCAATATTTTATTTTACTGCCTAATACTAGTAATTTATATGTTGATTTGATTGCATGGTTGATCCCAGATATGTACAAGTTGTAACTATGGTAGTTGCCAAGGAGTAGAGCAAATAGGCAGATGCATATATTATAGCATCATTTATTTATATATAGTATGAATTTATTTTTATCACCATCATCATCATACAGTTTACTAACTACTCAGTAATTAGTATGATGTATATCGCTGCAGACATATCGTCATGATCGCTGTTCACATCCTTCTGGCTTTCTTCTTCTTCACCATCATATTGCATACCGCATAACGCATACATAATCCCCTATGTACATAAGACAGATTATCAAACTAACCCATTACCTTGCTCTGCTCTTAGTTACAAAACTTACAACAAATAAATAAGCAAGGGGCGTAGGTAAGTAGTTAGGATATAGTTGGGTCAATAGGTAGTAGTAGTGACTTGGTTGGGTATATATGATAAAAAGCAAGTAAAGTACTTTACTTCAGACAGTAGTTGTGATATGATCGGTTCTATCAACACCCCCCACTAACTAATTATCTATATTCCATGTACATAATCATGTTGGATAATGATAGCATTCTCGTATCTGTAGTTCTTTATTTGCTTCTTTGTAGTTGTCGTGGGAGGTAGATAAGGCTTCTTAGTTGGGGGGGAGGGGGGTGTGTGGTTGGGTGTTGGATGCCCATGTGTAATGAATATCATAGATAGTGTTTAGGTACTAGTTGGGTGATGATCTGGCTAAAGGGCTATGATGCGAGGGGGCAGGGGATGTTACGTAGCGACTAAGTGTCTTTCCACTATTTGGGGGGTGATGCTGCGTGATTGGAATTATGAATTATGAATTATTGTCTGAATACACAAACTAAACGGTAGTGCTGCATTTGGACCTTCTGAGCTGTAGAAACTATCTGGATGGTGCAACAATCTCTATCCCCATATGGTGACTCGCGTTCATAGATATTGGTTGTCCTCGTAGGCATATGCAGCAACTACTCGACCATGCTGTTGAGCTCGAGTCAGCCTCCACCACCGCACAATCACCTCCTTCGCCCAGAGAATTCGGTTTTGTGTTTGTACAACTGCAGCGCATTGTCTGGCAATATCCCTTGCGATGGCTCGGCGCTTATCATCTCGACGCGTCAGGATCTGTCGCCATGCTGTCTGGAGTACTGTCGCAGCTCGCGCGCGCTTCGTAGCTGGCAGAAGCCGCGAACAGAGGAACGCGAGTGCTCCGATTGTAAAGTCGCTGTCGACGATATGAGTCTTTGAAGAAGGAGACACGAGTTTGGCTGGTCTATGTTAGTCGCTATGGAGGGAGTAATGTCATTGGTAAACTCACCGAATTCTGCACTGCATCCCAATGCCCGCAGACGCGATTCCAGAGATGCTGTTCTGCTATGATCCTCGGCATGCTCCACGAGATATCCGTCGTATTCGTCAACAATACTTTCGTATACCTTGCCATCGCTGAAGCTCGTGCTCAGGTTGTCAACCGGTACGCCCTTGAGATGTGCAAGGGTAGATGCCCATTGCTTGAGCAGCAAGGTTGGTTCGTCGCTCTCATCATTCCCGTTCAATGGCATGCCATCCTCACCAGCCTGGAAAGCAACTTTCTGCCTCAGTCTTTCAATCTCCTTTTTGACGTCCCCCCAGTCTACTAGCCCAGCAAGGCCCCATGTGCTGACCAGCTTCCACAACAACGCAATAGTCTTCTCGCGATGTCCGTCGACGATATCTTCTGCGCGTATGTCTTTCGCGAGCTTCCTTGTCTCTTGGGCAGAAGCCAGCGCATCCAAGGCAATCTGAATGTTAAAAAGCTTTACCGTGCGGCTCCTGCATGGGAACTTCAGATGACTCGAAAGCGGCAAACTTCCGTTCGACACTTCACCGGATGAGGTTGAACGATAGAATAACAATTCCACAATCCTTGTCAACCTCACACCGTCCCGGAGATCTACAGCAAGATTGTCAACCCGGTAGTCATATTCTTCCAATGGATGCTGCTCAAAACTCAATTCGCACTCCAAGTGGCTCAATGCTTTGATGATGTCTCCGCACGATGGAAGTAGGAAACGACCCAGTGCCTGGAGTACCGCACTAGAGGACTTGACAGGCGACGAAGAGAGGAAAAGGCGTCGCGGAACGGCTGTCCCATGGCACATTCTCGCTTTGTCCAGAAGGACAACCATCATTATGCTTCGAAGAACAGTCCGACGGTATGCCTGGCCAGCTACACCGCCATTCTCTCCCACAGCGATCTTTTCTTGAGGGTCAATATCCT